TGGGCTTGCATGCTCCTTTGGTTTCCTGTGTCTGTAATGTCTAGATCAGTGTTAGGAACGTAACTAGTGCTTAATAAATAGTTGTTGAGTGAATGAGTATATGATGAATGGGGAGAGAAGTTGAAGGAGGATTAGAAATGAAAGAGGGTTTCATGGACCAAGGATGATAGTTTGCCTTGACCTAAAGTAGTGTGATTAACTTGTCTCTTTGATCTCAGTTTTAAGATCAGTAAGAAGATTTGGGTAGGGCACTTGAGTGAAAGGTATTTATTTGGGACTTTCTAACACAGTGAATTACAAGAATGAACACTGGACTGATCATTGAGACAACTTCATTTCATGTTAGATGAACACACAGAAAGTGCCCCTAGAGAGAAGGATTGAGAATCAGGAGAACATCTGTTTTCTCCACTGTAACACTGGAAAAAAGGCAACAGTGAAGCACTGCTTTCAAATTCCAGATTAACAATTTTCAACATACAGTTTTCTACCCAGCCCTCCAGTTAGCTCTAAAGGTAGAATAAAGACATTTTCAGATACAGAGTTAAAAAAAAATGCCCTGGTACGTCATGTCTTGGAGGCTACTGAAAGATGCTCTCCTCCATAAAGAGTCAGTAGACCTAGAAAGGTGGAAATGAAACTCAGGAGCAAGACAAAGGGAAGGTCCTAGGATGATGTGCAGCAGTAGTCAGAAAGATAGCTGGGCCCAAGCCTGGAGAAAAATGGCCTATATTGAACTGGGGGACAGAAGGCTGCCAGAAGGAAGTTTCCAAAAATCAGAGTGGAAGCTAATATCTTTGGCTTTTACTGAAATGAATTCTTTCTGGGCATGGTGGTGCATGCTTGTAATCCCAGCTACTTAGGAGGCTGAGGCAGGAGGATTACAAGTTGGAGCCCAGCCTGTGCCAACTTAGTGACTTAATAAGACCCTGTCTCAAAATAAAAATTAAAAAAGGGCTTGAGATGTAGTTTAATGCAGAGGTCTTGGCTTCAACCCCCCATCCTCCCTAAAAAAGGAATTCTTCGTTGTGGCAGAACATTTGAGTATGAATTATTGACACCCTGAAAATCTAAGTAAATGGAAAAAACAAAGCAGCTGTTACTTTCAGAGGAAACAAAGTTGTATAAGAGAGGAAATGTGATCATGAGAAATGTAATTGTGGTATAGCTTGAAGCAATGTTGACATAGTCATAATGAGGAAAATATTGTTTTAACTTGAAGTTGCAACTTAAACATATTGGGAGATGGAGGTAGAAGTACATATGTGTGTGTGTGTATTGTACTGGGGATTGAATCCAGGGAGTACTGAGTTACATCCCCAACCCTTTTTATTTTATTTTGTGACAGGGTCTTGTTAAGTTGCTTGGGCAATTTACAATCCTCCTGCCTCAGCCTCCTGAGTTGCTAGGATTACAGGCATGTACCTCCATGCCTGGCTTGAGTCACTTTCTAAAAGCAGAAAGTCAGTAGATAATGTCTCAGCAGTGTCTGTTGCATTTTCTTAAAGGAAATTTTGGCAAATAAAGGCCAATGATGTATACCAATAACTCAGAGATAATCACTGTTAACATTTGGTGTATATTCTCCCATATATACATTAGCGTATATGTTTACACATATGTAAGGACACAACACTCATTTGTATATTTACTATTATGAAATTAGGTCATATCATAGTGTTTCCTAAATGCCTGTCCAAGGTTCTTTGCATGAGAATGACTTAAGGAACTTTTTGGAAATACAAACTCTCAAAAGTAGACTGGGGATTTTGATGCATAGTTAGGTTTGGCGGCACGGTTTAGTAAATGGCTTTATTACTGCCCTTTAACATTTTTCTACCTCACTACATCTTGTGGAGACAAGTTAGTCTGACTCTGTAAGACTTTCTAAGTGGTCATTGTCTCTCTCCAGGAAAAGAGAGGGAACAAATCATCTGATAAAGCCACACTCTTGGCCTTCGATGCCCTGGTGACCTTCTGTGAAGAACTGGGGTAAGTGTCTTATTTTGGATGTGGAGTAAAGTGTCAGTGAGCTCATTTCCTTACCCAGCTCCCATTATTTAAGCTGATACCATGAGACAGCCCTTGTGGCCACCAAGGGACCCCTGCCTGTGACGGTCATTATGTGGGCAGCCTGGAAATCAGTTTGTCTTCTTTAGGCCCCCGAAATTCTGGCAGTGTGAGGATTTGCTTAGCATTTTGGGTGGTCATCCATCCTCCCACTGCACATTTTTCTGCGATGGCTGGCCTCTTGAGTGACTCATTTCCAAGTAATATGGCCAGCTCTGAGCCACTGACTCTGTGGTCGTCATGTGGCCCTGAGCTGGGACTTCTGGCTTCACTTGAGTGGTACTTATTCAGGGCCCAAACAGAAGTGTGTGACCCACTTACCTCTTGGGCAGGAGCATCATGTGCTTTGAAAAAAAATCAGCCTTTTTAACAGAATCCCAGCCTGGCCACATGGAACCCATTTACTTCTTTTGTCTGCATCCGTAGCAGTGGTACAAGGGCTATGGAAGAAGCCTGATGGCTGCCCAGGGACAGTCAGATGTGGCTGGGCACATGGAACCATGGGTACTCAGTGTTAGGGACACCCAGGAGGATTCTGTACACTTTGGTCTCAGATTCATCTAGTCACATGTAACAATCCTGGGAGGAGATGGGCATAAGTGATTGCTGTAGATTTAGAGGTGAATAAACTCAACTCCAAGCAGGTCACAGTCACAGAGCTCACAGTAGACAAAAGCTGCCAACCTTCGCTCTCCTGATTTGCACGTGTGGTGTTCATTTCACACACCTTGGTTTTTGCAAGATTAGAGTCTTTTTTTTTTCTGGTCTGTTTTTGTGGTGCTGTGGATAGAACCCAGGGCCTTGAACATGCTAGGCAAGTGCTCTACCATTGAGCCACACCCCTAGCCCCAAGACTAGAGTCTTGAAGCAGGGTTCTGGGTAAGTACATTATATCAGTGTCTAGCAGATGTTTGGGTCCTTCTTTGGAAAGCAGGGAGGCACTTTTTTGGGTCCTATATTTAGATTCCCATCTCCCTCCTATTCACTGATGAGTCGGTGGCTCCTAGACTGAGCTATTTCTAATTTGGATCAACCATTTCTAGTTTGGCCTCTGTGGCAGGACCACACCCAACAAAAGTGGCGGGCTGCTGTGCCAGGCCCCCTTGCCTATGGCAATTTCCACCAGAGCCCTTTATAGGCCCTGGTACAGGGAGCTGCTAAATTTGGCCTTCTTGGACTACTTGAGCAGAACTCTCATTTGTGCCACGGAATGAAAGGACCAAGTGTTCTTGCTAATTGTTAGAGTTCCCACTGCAGGGAAAAACCCTGGAGGTTCTGGTCTGGGGCTGCGTTTGAGGCACTGGAGGGTGAGAGCCTGCCAGGCAAGGGCATGAATCCTTCCTGGGGCTACTGGTTTTTATTTCTTCTGTCTCATTCCAAGGAACTGGGACTTCTTAGTGCATCAGTGGGCCAGTTGGGGCTTCCCCTGCCCTGTATGGAGCCTCACACCTTCTATCTTATTGGCCATGTGTTCAGGTTCTAGATTCCAGGACTCCTAGGGAATGTTTCTCTTTTATTTGTTTGTTTTGTTTTTTGAGACAGGGTCTCGTTGTACAGTTTAAACTGGTCTTGAACTCACTATGTACCCCAAGCTGGCCTTGAATTTGTGACTATTCTGCCTCAGCCTCCTGAGTGCTTGGACTATAGGCATGTGCCACCATGCCTGGTTTGAAAGGGAGTGTTTCATTATTGCATAAATGGCATGTAGTATGAAAAAAAAAGCCCCTCTCCACCAGATATTTGCTCCTTTTCTAAGAATAGTACTGGTTTGAGTTTGAGGTCGAGACAACTGTTCCTGTCAGCTGTCCCTCAGGGCTGACACCTGGCATTGAGGAACCGGCCAGTGGGGTGGGCTTGGCTGAGGTGGGTACATTTCTAAAAGGAGCCTCTTGTGGGGGCTGGGAATGAGGAGATGGAACCCTGTGAGGGATAAGAGGGGTGGGTCTGGGACCAACAGAAAAGATACTTAGGTGAGTTAGGAATGAGGACACAGTGGTTTTCCTCTTGTCTCTGCATGTAGCTACTGTCTTTGGACTGTAGTCCTGAAAGAGTATTATTCATGACAGGGCTTTTTGCTGTGAAGTATTGTGAGAAAATTTTTTTTTTGTACCAGGGATTGAACTTGGGACCTTGTGCTTGTGAGGCAGGTGGCAGCACCACTGAGCTAAATCCCTGGCCCTTGTGAGAATAGTTTTTAGGCCTGAAGTAACCTGTGGCCAAGTAGCCTGTGCACTTTGAGATGTAAGAACAGCTCTGTGTTTAGACCTGGGTTGAATTGTCTCCTGGGGACTCTGGGCTGAGAAGCCCAGCAGCCCCAGCATCTTCCTTTTACCCATTTGTGTGTTCATTTGTTCATTTATTCAACCAAAAAATTAATTGATGCCCACTCTGTGCCAGGCACACTGGTCATGGAGATACAGTGGTGAGCAGAAAGAGACCCATGGGGGAGACAGATGCTTGTCAGATGATCATATAAAAAAAAAAAGCACAGTTCTTCCTGAGATGGATTTGAAGGAAAGGTGTGTGATATTTTGAGATTGTACAACAGGTGGTCCTACCCCAGTCTAGAGGGTCAGGGATGTTTTACCTGAGGAAGGCAGGTTTAGCTGGGATCTGAAGGATGTGAAGTATTAACTAAGCCAAGGACTGAGGCGTAGTATGAGGGAGAACATCCTGGTCAAAGGTAATATCATGTGCAAAGGCCCTGTGACAGGAGAGAACATGGTATATTCAGGAACTGAAGGTCATACTGAGAACCAAGGGACATATTTTAGACACCTAGTGAGATAAGCAGTGCCAGACCACGAGGGGACTTGTAGGCCCCAGTGAAGCTTTGCTAGGTAAGCTGGCTCTGGTGGCCATGTCTAGATGCAAAAATGAGCTCTCACAAGTTAGCAGATTTGAAAAGGAATTTTTATTTCATCTGATTATTTTATGTCCTCCTCTGTGAAGAACTTAAAAAGTTGCTGGTGGGGTTGGGAACCCAGGAGAGGACCTTGTTAGCCTGAGGCAGAGGCAAGGCCCTTTCCCACCTGCCTGCAGGGTTCAGGTGGCACATGGTGTGGAGTTCCAGGATCTGTATCAGACCCACCACCCCATCTTGCCATCTGACCAGCCCTAAGCCAGGTCAAGTATCTGACCATACTGTTTTCTGGTGAGAAAAAAAGACACCAGCGCTTGACCCTTGAGCCACAGGGGACTGTGACAGAGCCCACTGCCAGTACAGGGTGAGCTGGTCAGCCCCCCTCGCCTGCAGCCTCCTCATCCCTCAGGAAGTCAGATCACTGCTGGTCACCCTCGGTACTGTCCACCGGAAAGAGCAACCCAAATGTAATAGCAAATAAGATGAAAAACAGGACTGTGGCAATGAATAAGCCGATCACTATCACACCAGCCAGATCCCAGGGGTTCTCCCAGAGCTCATCATGCCAGATGTCCTTCTGGAGTAACGTTTGGTCCATGTAAACCTGGAAAAGAGGAGACAGAGGCCTTGAGTGCAGGGAGCCCTCAAGACCCAGTCCTAGGTGCTGCTCTCTACTCCCCCAACCTTGATGCCTGTGGCAGTCTCAGTGAATAGCTTTCTATCTCTGTGGCCAGTGGACACTGCAGGAAGGGGTGATGAGTCTTTTGGTTTTAAGTCTGAAGGCAACATATGTAGTCTTCTGCTCTATACTGAGGGCCCAGCATTCCCTCTTCTCTCTTTTGTGGTTTTTTTTTTTTTTTTGGTACCAGGGATTGAACTCGGGTTCTTGTGCTTGCCGGGCAGGCAGCAGAACCACTGAGCTAAATCCACAGCTGTGTTTTTATTTTTTTATTAATTTTTTTTTTTTTTGTACCGGTTCTTGTGCTTGCCGGGCAGGCAGCAGAACCACTGAGCTAAATCCACAGCTGTGTTTTTATTTTTTTATTAATTTTTTTTTTTTTTGTACCAGGGATCGAACTCAGGATCTTGCACTTGCAAGGCAGGCGGTGGAACCACTGAGCTAAATCCCCAGCCCGTGTTTTTGTTTTTTTGAGACAGGGCCTCATTAGACAGTTCAGGCCTTAAACTCACTATGTATCCCAGGCTGGTCTGGAACTCATAGTGATTCTCTTGCCTTAGCCTCCCGAGTGCTGAGATTATAGACCTGTATTCTTCCTGGAGGCTGGTTCCAGTCTCCATTCCAGATTCCTCTGGAGTCTCCAGTTCTTTCTTGAACAGCCCCATTATGGAGCCGGGGCTCTTACCCCTGAGCCCTACTCAGCTAGAATCTAAAAAAGCATTGCTATAGATCCTTCCTACTTTTCCTGCCCCAGTTGTTGACTGTTTGGGAGGCATTTTGAGAGGTCAGTGGGTATACTGGTGGCAGGAGGATCACTTGAGCTCAAGAGTCTAAGGCCAGACTGGGTAACAGGGAGACCCTCACTTCAAAAACAAAACAAACAGCCAGAATGGTGGTGCATACCTGTAATCTCAGCTGTTTGAAATGGAGGCTGAGGCAGGAAGACCAAAAGTCCGAGCCTACCTGGGGCAACTTAGTGAGACTTTAAGAATTTTAGAAAGGGGGGATGTGGTAGTTTAGGGTTGTACCTCCACACTCCCCGGTACTAAAAATCTCCATTACTGTAAAGTAGAGGGAGGAAGGGAGAAAGAGAAGAAAGCAAAAAATAAGTAAATAAAAAGGATGGGAGTTTAGGAGTGGCTGAGGCTTCAGTAGATTTCCCTGGAGGCCCCTGAAAACGGGAAGTCTAAGTGCTGTGGAGACAGAGCTGGTATATTTAGGTCATGGGCTGTAGCCATTTGATAGGAGTACAGGAAAGAAGAAAGGAGTCATTACCTGATTGTGCTGCTGGCAGTCCTGTGTCCTGTGAGTGCAAATCAGAGCTGTCCTTCAGCCCCTGTGCTTGGGAGAACCAGGCTGAAGGGGCTGCCAGGTGACCAGAGATGCACCCTGGGTAAAAGTGTTAGGAGGAAGAGTTATTGGGATTGCCAAGTAGCCCTGACCAGGCCTTCAGTGCTGCCCCCAGAGAAAACAAAGGTGGAGTAGGGTAGGTACCTGGCAACACCCTTCAGCTTCGTTCTGCCCTTCTGTGATGTCAGTGTGGGGGCACTTGGGGCGCATGTTAAGAGTTTTCCCCGAGAGAAATAAAACTTGGTGTGGAATAGAAAGATTGGATCTAAGGGCTGTACGCCAGGCAGCCCATCCACCTCACCTCTGAGCTGGGGCTTGGCTCTCAGTCTAGATGATCTATCCACTGAGAGAACCTGCCCAGAACCTGGGAAGCCCCAGGGCTGGTACTGCCACAAAGGCATCACTTCCTGTGATGTGGGTGAATGATTAACAGCAGCTCTGGCTGGTACCTCCTGGACCGAGTTTCTGGGTAAAAGTGTTTATCACTATTGAGGCTGGTGCTTCCTGCCTCTCAGGCCTCAGCTGCTGTGTGGTTGGTTCCTACACACTGGTGCTGTGGGGAACTAGGAAGGGGAATGGAGTGTGTGTCTGGTGCTTGAAACCTGGGGGCCACCATTGACTCCTCTAAGCTAGATGTGTGATCCTACTGTGGCCAGGGATGATAGGCATTTGACCGGCCATAGGACAAGAGAAGTGAGCCTTGCCCTCTGAGAGCTGCAGGTCATCAGCCCTGCTTGTTACAGTCAGCTGGGAGCACTTAGAAATGCTCATGTCCCACTCATGCCACTTATATCAGTTCCTAGGATGCCAAGATGCTGTATTGTTTTAAACCTCTTCAGGTATAGCCAGGAGGTTGGCAGATGATGAGCAAGTTCAGAAAGGGGCTCTCTTTCTCTTTTTATTTTTTTCCTGGTGCTGGGGATTGAACCCAAGGCCCTCACACTGAGTTGCATCTGCCTGCTTGCCTACCTGCTTGCTTGATTGCTTCCTTCCTTTCTTTCTTTGTTTTGAGATAGGTTCTTAAGTAGTTCAGGCTGGCCTTGAAATCACTATGTAGCCCAGGCTAGCCTTGAACTCTCCATGATCCTCCTGCCTCAGCCTCCCAAGTGCTGGGATTATAGGCGTGCACTACCATTCCCAACTTCATTTTTATTTTTTGAGACAGGATCTCACTAAGCTGCTGCAGGCTGGAATCAAATTTGTAATCCTCCTGCCTCAGCCTCCCAAAATGCTGGGATTACAGGTGTGTGCCACCACACCTGGCTTAGTAAAGAGTTCTGAACTGTTGCAGGCCGAATTGACCCCTGGCTTGCCTGATATTTTCCATTTCCTTATGTAAAACTTGCTGACTAACATCCCTGGCATACCAAGTACACACAGCCAGCAGGCTGGCCTCTGGCACACCCTGCTACTTCTTCCCCCTCAGTTAAGTCGGGCTTATCAAGAGTCAGTTCCCAAACTGGTTTGTGGCAGTTATACTTTTTTTTGGTACTTGTCATTATAATTACACAATTGAATGTAACATGGCATTAAAAAATGAAGCAATGACACCTGAAACTCCCAATTTTCCAGATGAGGAACCCACACGGAGAGGTTTAGTAACTTAACCAAGGTCATACAGCTGATAAGTTGGTTTGAAGCCAGCTATTCAGTCTGACTGAGGCACTTGCTGTACCTCTGAGAGGAGAAAGTAAATTGTTATTTCTGTAAACACCTGTGGGACCACTTGGATTTACTCAAATAATATTTCTGTCAAAGGAGAAGGAGATGTTTTGTAAAACACCAGTGGCACAGCACACTCAGATTCCTTTGCAAATGTCTTTAGGTTTTTGTTCTGCTCTAATGAAACCAAAATTCCAAAATAAATACTACAGCAAGCTCACATTCAGATAAAAGACCTTGGCGCTACTCCAGAAAGGTTGGCCAAGGAATGCACTGTCCGTTTCAGTTTAAAATGAAATGTGTAGGGCCAGGGATTTAGCTCAGTGGTTCCACCACCTGTCTCGCAACCGCAAGGTCCTGAGTTCGATCCCCGGTACCAAAAAAATGAAATGTGTAGAGAATGTGTGCCATACACATGAAAGTTGCTTCAGCTGGCTTTTTCAGTGAACTGTGGTCCCCAAGTAGATAATTCTACTATCACAGGGAGGAGAATGAAATCATAGGGAAGGCACAGGTTGCCTGTGGAAGAACCTGTCTAGTGCTGAGGGTTCCTCTATCCAGAAGTGATGAGGAAGTAGTGATGTGAAGAATAAGACTCATTACCTGAGAGTCAGAGTTAGGGGCTGCATTCTACAGCACTGCACAGGACCAAGGAGAGAAGATTTTAAGGACAAAATTAATTTGGCCTCACATTTTATGATCTGAAATTTGCATTGCCATTTGTGTTGCCCATCGTGACATTATGAGTTTTATTGTAGATTGCTTCAAAATATTAACATTTTAGCAAACAGATTTAGGAGGAAACTTTTTCTGTGCTCTGCCAAGGTTTCCCAATGAGATTCTTGCCTCAGTGGCTTTATTATAGTTTGTAATGGTTATAATGTGCAGACATTAAAATGAATAGATCTTCAGTGTAAGTGCAGCCCTTCTGAGGAACTGAGAGCAGACACGGGTGCAGCAGAGGCCATAGCAGAGGAGGCTGGTGAGACCACTGTGGAGACTGCTTAGGCTACTTGCAGTGAGTCCAGCAAACACTGCTGTTGGCTTGGTCTAGGATGGTGTGGGGCAGTTCCAGAAGTGCTATCCAGTTGGTTGGATGTTTTCCAGGCCTAACAAGCCTAGTGGCTGCCCCTTCTTTGGCCATTAGCAATCTTTAAACATCCCAGGACTGTTTATTTTTCCCACAATAGGAGGTAGGTGCTTTCTTTCCTAGTCCGTCTTCCTCAGGGAAGACCCACATTAGACTGTGCATCCAGGGAATGTGCCCGGATGCTGTCAGGCCAATGTCTGTAGATTTGAGCAGGCTGGACACCTGCTTGGGACTTGACCCAACAGTGGTGGAGCTGTGGAAGGGGAGGAGCAAGTCTGCCGTGGGCAGGGACAGCTTATTTGGACCTAGCAGTTGTGTACTGCCTCGCGTGCAACAGGACGGGACAAATGAACTGACTAGTCTGCCTATGTGTGCCCAGGGCTGTCCATGGTACCCATCTCTCAGCAGCTGGGAACTAAAATCTTTTCTAGCAGTGAGTCTCAGCCTCAGCCACCCTAGAGGAGAACCTTTTTTTTTTTTTTTTGGTCTTGGATGTTTTGAAACAGGTATCATATGTAGCCCAGGCTGGCCTTGAATTCATGATTCTTTTGCCTTAGCCTCCCAAGTTCTGTGGTTACTGGTGTGTACCACCAGGACTGCTTTGGAGGGCCATTCTTTTTTTTTTCTGGTACCGGGGATCAAACTCAGGACCTTGCACCTGCAAGGCAGGGGCAGTGCCACTGAGCTAAATCCCTGGGCCTTGCAGGGCCATTCTTGATGCTGATGAAGCCTTGCTTGAAGAAGAGTCAGGAGGAAGCTGGGCTGGATCTCTGTTGGAGCAGCTCCTGAACTAAGGGCTTCTACCTCTACCCAGTGGTGCTGGGTGTGAAAAATGCAGGCCTTCCTGTCCTGTCCACTGTGCTTGGGTTTTTCTTCTGACACCTAGTTGGGCACCACCCCAGCTGCTACCTGTTGGGTCCCACCCACTCTTGTGGAGGCAGTTTGGGACAGAGTTTTGGTGTGGATGTTTGGATGTAGGGTTGGTTGATGGAGGATAATGGAATCAGACAGAGCCTTATCTGTCCTGCACCTGGGAAACCTCAGAGCACTGGGCGTGTTGAGCAGGGGCTCTGGAGCCAGACAGACTGGACCCAGACTGGCTCTGCCACTTTTCAGCTGGCCAAACTTGGACAAATCACCTAGTAGTGTCACTAAGACTCAATTTCCTCACGTCTAAGTTAGGATAATAATGGTACCTACAGCAGTGAGGTATTGTGATGATTAAATGAATTTCCATTGAAATACTTAAGACAATACCTGGGCATGTGCAGGCCCTCAGTGAATTTTAGCTGTCATTATCACCATTGTCATCCTTGTTGTTTTTATTATTCTGGATCCCATTCTTTGGATAGGGCTCAGGATAGGTAGTTCTTGGAGTTCTTTCTTTTTTTTTTCTTTTCTTCCTGGTATGGGGATCGAATTTAGGACCTTGTGCTTGTGAGGCAGGCAGGGTGCCACTGAGCTAAATCTCCACCCTGGATTTCTTTTTCTTTTCTTTTCTTTCTTTCTTTCTTTCTTTCTTTCTTTCTTTCTTTCTTTCTTTCTTTCTTTCTTTCTTTCTTTCCTTC